ATTTACTTTTCCGATAAAGATGTCTGCTATGATTCCTTCTACTCTGAGCTGCAATCTGTAACCATCATTATTAATTCCTCACAAAATTCTTACTTCCACCAAAAATTGGCAGCTTCCCTCAAAAGATATTAAATCAGCTACATTTCACTTCACTCTCTAATCACAGCCACATGTGTGGTTGTCTCATTACTGTCTGTTCCTGCTTACCTCTCTACTGGATTCCGTAGTTCCCTATTGCCACTTTTTGGCTTCACATCTACTTTGGGTGGTCAAGGGCAAACACCCTTCCAGGAAGGATGTCTGTTATGAGCTACATGGCTACCAGAATGATTGACACATGGCTGCTAGAGTGGATGACACATAGCTACTAAATCAAAATTATTTTTATTTAATGATATAAATAGTTATTGGGATAGGTGTGAAGGTAGTTTTAGGATGTGTAGGATAAATGTGATGGTAGTTTATAGGTGAAGGGGTAGTTATGTAGGTAGTGTTTAGGATGTAGGAAAAGTTACTTCTAACAAGGGAAATTATTATTCTTAGAAGTTACTCTTTCTTGTATAGCATAATATTAATATGAACAAAATATGAAGAAAAATTCATCAAAAAAGTTTCTTAAATTATTGTAAACTCTGGGAAATTGTTAGGTCCTCTCATAATGAGCCCACACTATTGATAATATTATGCACTTTGTGTGATTAAGGTTAAACTAGGTTAAAGTGTAAAATATATCATTTGTAATTAATTCTAACTTCCCTTTCTAATTTTCTACAACTTGTATTTATAGGGACATATCATTCAGTAAAATGCATAATACATTATTTTAACGTGATATCAGAGGCTTAAATTAAGAAATAATAAATTATTTTACAAATCCAATACCGTTTTCATTGTAAAAATAAGAAAAACCCTAAAGGGGGTCACCATATCTAACCACCACAGCAGCCACAACCACCACCAACTTTCATAGTTGGACAAGCAGCTAGCCAGCTGCAAGCTAGCCGTGCAACCCACCACCACTAGCTGCGCCAATCTGTGCTGCTGCCCTGCGGCGCTAGCCCCAAACAACCTCTCCACCTGTGAACCTGTCTAGCTGTGCCTCTGTCCAGCCGCACTCTATTCAGCCGCATTCTGTCCAACCACATCTCCACAACTGCCATTCTTTGTCAAGTGGCAACCTTCTGTTCGACTGTAGCCACAAATCTATCTAGCTCCGTGTTTGGAACTTTAAAGTCCAGTAATCTCTAATTTTTATAATATTAAAATGGCCTTAATTGCTCTAAAAGTTTTAAACTATCTCGGGGGTTACTTCTTGAATTACCAGCACAAATTCCCATATGGGAAATCCAACACAAACTAATGGAAAATTTCAGCCAATTCAAGCCCCCTATTGCTTTAATTGTAAGAATTTATTGAATTAGTTACAATTAATTCGGACCATCCTGAAGGGAAAAAAGAAAACTAATCATATTCTGGGAATTAGAACAAAACTAGGAGACCTGAATTTTGATGCCTAGGATGAAGAGGATTCAATGATAATGGCGTGACTCTAGAGCTCAGTGGCTCCAGAGATAAATAATACTGATATGTCCTTATCAACTGCAAAAAGTTTGGGATTTAATAAGAGAAATCTATTCCAAAGTAAAAGACGCAGCCCAAATCTATGAGTTGACTATAAAAACTTAGTAAGCAAATAATGACGCAGATTGGTTATAGAGTATGTCAACCTTTTGAAGAGCTGGTGGCAGGAACTTGATCAACACTGTCTCACTGTGGAGTGAAGTACAGATGCTACTGTGAAGATGGTAGAGAAAGACAACAGATATCAAGTCCAGGCAGGACACAATGAAGAATATGATTAGGTGAGAATTCAAAATCTTTGGAAAAGAGGAGATGTCATCCCTAAATAAGGTAATATCCCTAGTTGTTGTTAACAAAAGTAGGAGAGAGGTTATGCTAGGAGCTTGCATTACTAACAATTCAGTAGTAGCGATTAGAGATTCCAAACTACATCAACAAGGACAGGAGCCAAGTAATGGCAAAACCTCATATATTGGAGAAGAAAACATTGACAATTTGTGGTGTGTTTTCTATAAGAAGTCTCCGTACACCAAAGAGAAATGCTGGAAGCTCCATTGGAAGCCCATTACTTCAAGCAAGGAATGGGCATATAAGAATAATTCACTGAAGGCTTACAGACAAGCCTATGTAGTTATTCAGTAAAATACACAAGACATTATTCTTAACAGTAAGATTTCTTATTTTATTTTATTCTTACATGATTCAACTTTGTAGTTTGTTCCTAAATAACTAGTTCTGTGATAGATAGGTTTCTTATTACATTTTTCTTCCTAAGTAACTCAACTTTCTATTTTCTTTTATATTTAAATAATTCAATTTTCCTATCTTGCTTTCTTCCTAACCGTTTCCAAACAGAAATCTAAGCTAAAACCACGAGGATTTTAATGCCATTATGATTTGTACTTTTGGTCCATGGTCTGTTGTGCTTTTCATGTTATTGGCCATAAAATTACATCTCTCCTTCATAAGGTGTTTGTCTTCAAGCACCAATCATGAAAAACAGCAGCCTAGAGTAAAGAACAACGCAACGGAAAAACCCAAAATCTGGTGGCAGTCCATCTGCTATATGTAAATGGAGTGAAAGCTAACTTGAATATTTGGCATTCTAGGCCAAAATGAGTCGACTCCTACTGAGGAGTCTTTACATCATGGCTTCATGGATTTTCTGTTCTTGCTCCTGTTTTGCTTGCCTTCGTTGCTTAACAAATTCCTTAAGGACCCTATTCAGATGCATAACCCATTCTTTAAGTGCTTAGTTCAGCTGAATCATAGCCTTAAGTTTCTGTGCTGCAATGTTATTTTCAGTCTTCTCCCAGCCAGCAAAAACTTCTTCTGTAGCTTTGGCAGGCTGCTTAACCAAGTAATTTTTGGCACTTACATTTCCCCAAGCGGCTACTAACTTCTCTGCTAGTTACTTTATCTTATCATTAATGTCTTGACTGTTATCTCTGCTATTGATGTAGCCTCATATAATGATTTTATTACTAGGAGATCCTTTTAAACCTTTTGGCTGATCATAGTCTTATGCAGAATCCGATAGGTTTGTGGTCCCATCTGAACATGGAAATACCCAGTGTGGCAACCGCAGAATAGTTCTCCTCCCTCTGCACTACCTTCAGTTCTGGGAGGTCTTTTATCTTTGTGGTTATTGCTGCTGATACCAATGGTTGCTGGTCTTCTCCGATTTGGTTGAGTGTAATTCTTCAAACAGGCCTTCAATTTGCACTATTAATTCTTTGTTACCTTTCTTCCATTCTAGCATGATCATTATGGTAGAGTTCGAAGGAAGACTTAAATTTTTGCTGGAAGTTTTTCATGTCTCCCATGACGCCCAGCTCTTATACCAATATAGAGTCATGGGTTAACTAATGTTTAAATAAGTAGGATTAGAATTTAGGGTTCGTTATAGGGAACTTTTCGTTCTCTAGAGTTAGGTCACTCTAAAATCTTTAGAGTTGAGGGTGAAAGTAGTATTAAGATGGGTGACCTTCTGGGAAGTTCTCTTGTTACACCTATTTTTTTCGGAGTCTGGTAACGCTGGTTTGTCACCCTAGTGGGGGCTTCAAGGTGGTTGAAGATTGGTTCGGTCCAAAAGGTTGGGCTTAGGAGGGTTAAAATGCTTGCCCGCCCATTCCAAGAGGGGAGTTGAGTTATGGGTTTTGAGCGTAGGCTTTGGGGCTCACCACTCCTAGAGTGGAGGGGACTACATAAGGCTGGAAACAAAGCAACGAAAATCTCCTGCTCTCCTCAATGGAGGGATAACAGACTGGTGCTCTCCAAGTCCAGTGACGCCTCATGGACTGTCCTCAATATAACACAACCATTTTTTGAAAAAATTATCTCAAAAAATTCTTTGATTGATGAAATAACTTACATATATAGACAAAACAACTGCTAATGGTTTCCCCAATACTACAGGTTCAAACCAGATTGCATTCTCATCTGCTTTTACAGCCAGGTTTCCTATTTTATTTTATTCTTAAATAACTCAATTTCCTTTTCATTTATTCCTGAAAAACCATATCCCTATCACAGTTAAATTTCTTGTTCTATTTTATTCATACAAAACTCAAATTTCTATCTTATTTATTCCTAAATAATTCTAGTTTCCTATCTTCTTTTCTTCCTAATAATTTTTAACTAGAAACTTAATCTAAAAGCACAAATGAGTTTAACGTCGCCGTGATTATTTGCTTCTTGTCCATGGATCCCTCTTCTGTGCTTTTCATGTTATGACCATGACAACATGTCTCTAACCATAGATCAATAACATAATTCTGCTGTGACACAAATGCCAGCTTCATTTTTGATACTTCAGTACCTAAGGAGTCTCTTAAGGATCTCAAATCCTCTAGAACTGAGTTTGGAGAACTAGTTTCATTTATCATCATTTGTAATATCAATTGACACAATGAACAGGAGCTTCCTAGCCTTGAACTGATGATAGGAACCATAATGGAATATTCAGCTGTTGCATAAACAATTATCACGACCTTACAATATGTTGAATTAAAGGTAACTGGAATGAAATGAAAGGAAAGGACGAGATGGTCAATGTCCTTTCTCTAGTTTGGCTCGAAAAATAGTAACTAGTAAAGAATGAAATGAAAGGAAAGGATGAGATGGTCATTGTCCTTTCTCTAGTTTGGCTAGAAAAATAGTGACTAGTAAAGGATGAAATGAAAGGAAATTTTCTATTTTAACCTTAACTACATAATTTGTCATTTTATTAACGGAAGGTAATGTTTACTGTTTTTTTATAATTAATCATTTTCTCTTCTTTATAAAACTAAGCCAAACAAAATATTGGCGCAGTCATTTTCTTTTATTTTCGTTTTCAATTTTTAGTTATCCTACTGAAGGAGATACTATTCCTTTTATTTCCTTTAAAATCGACTTCTTTTTTTCTCTAATTTTGTCTACATTCTTTTTGATATGTACTAAAACAGAAAATTAGCAGATCTTACAATCCATCCTACGGGAGCTTGCATCCGCCTGTACAAGAATATTTTTAGCTGTAATACCTACGATTTTCTGTGAGCTGATAAATCCAGGAGGTTGCTTAATGGAATCTCAATGCAAAAAATATGTTCTTGGTGTTGAGTCCATGTAAATGCCAGTTATTAAGTAGCTGCCAAGGAGATGAAAATAGGAAATGAGTTAAGCACCATTACAGGAGATAAAGTTTGAAATAGTCCATCCTAATGACGGTACACCTGAGCATAACCCTCGGCAACTAGCCTAACCTTGAGATACTTAACGAACCTATCTGGATTTGCTTTGACACTGATTTCCAATGTCAAATCACAGTTTCCCCGATGGGAGTGGGACCTATTCCGAAATATCATTTGTTCACAAAGCACACATCTCATTTTCCATTTTGTATCTCAATCAATATGATATTTAACTTGCATTTCATCCTTCCGTTAATTCCTAGCGTTGTTGATTTTTAACTTTTATATTATTTTTTCATTTTTCTCATCTTTTTTGACAGG